ACCACTTCAAACAGAGTCCATTTCCCCAAGAAGCAACACTTCTCCCTCACCACCCCAAGGCCTGGACTACGCTGTGCCCCCATCGATCTAAGGCATGCAGCTTCAGCTATGCAAATAGCGTCCTTGCCGAGGTGTCTTCCATGTGGTAAGCTTGACGGCTGACGCCCTCTCATCTACTCCAGCTACTCTTCTCATCCTGGTGGAGTCCCAGAGTGGACGAAAGAGCTCTCGGATGTCTATTTATCATGTCTAAGTAGACATGATAAATCAACTGCTGGTAGATCGATCGCTGCAACGTTGATCCACTGTGTAGTGAAGACAAATCCTTAGTTGTACCTGGATTTGCCATCACTACTGCCCGCTTAGCAAGCAGGTTACAGTTAGGGTGACCCTCAGTTAGGGCATGGTACCAAGCTGGGAGGGGTTGCAACTGCTTTGGAGGACAGGCTCATAATTCAAAATGATCTGGACAAATTGGAGAAATGGTCTGAGGTCAACAGGATGAAGTTTAATAAAGACAAATGTAAAGTCTTCCACTTAGGAAGGAACAATCTGTTTCACACATACAGAATGGGAAACGACTGTCTAGGAAGGAGTACGGCAGCAAGGGATCTAGGGGTTATAGTGGACCACAAGCTAAATACGAGTCAACAGTGTGATGCTGTTGCAAAAAAAAGCCAACATGATTCTAGGATGCATTAACAGGTGTATTGTGAGCAAGACATGAGAAGTCATTCTTCCACTCTACTCTGCGCTGATTAGGCCTCAGTTGGAGTTTTGTGTCCAGTTCTGGGCACCACATTTCAAGAAAGATGTGGAGAAATTGGAGAAGGTCCAGAGAAGAGCAAGAAGAATGATTAAAGGTCTAGCAAACATGACCTATGAAAGAAGACTGAAAGACTTTGAATTGAGCTTGTTTAGCTTGGAAAAGAGAAGATTGAGGGGGGTCTTGATAGCGGTTTTCAGATATCTAAAAGGGTGTCACAAGGAGGAGGGAGAAAAATTGTTCTTCCTGGCCTCTGAGGATAGAACAAGAAGCAATGGGCTTAAACTGCAGCAAGGGAGGTTTAGTTTGGACATTAGGAAAAAGTTCCTAATTGTCAGGGTGGTTAAGCACTAGAATAAATTGCCCAGGGAGGTTGTGGAATCTCTATCTGTGGAGATATTTAAGAGCAGGTTAGATAAATGTCTATCAGGGATGGTCTAGACAGTACTCGGTCCCTCGATGACCTCTCAAGGTCCTTTCCAGTCCTAGTATTCTATGAAATTCTATGGTAGGTACCGTTCCGATACCCTTTCATCAGGCCATAAGATAACAACCCATGAACCCTGCATTCATGACTAAAGTGAATTTGAACCCAAATAGCCAAGCTTGAGCACGTTGATCACTCTGCCGGTCCCCAAGGCAGAGTAGGTCGGTCTATGCAAGGTCTTTCCCCCCAGTCCATCAGTCAATGTCATGGTACAGCTCTTCCGCACCCTGGCTGACATAAGTAATTAATGAGGGTTGTCAACTCAATGGGCCGATTCCTGCCCTTGGATATATATATGTGCACTTGCCATGAAATCTCTCTTCTTTTCTCGCCTTCTTTTGTGGGATGTTGTGCTGACATTTTTCATGGGTTTCATACTGTATATTTCACGATGCTTTAGAGGAGGGTATTTATTACTGTATTTCAAATACGTGCCTAGTGCTGGTTATGCCCTAATGATGGAGGGGAAGTGGGAAGAGCAGGCTGGGGAGATGTTGCATGCAGTTTTCAGAAGGGCCTGCAGACTTTCGGCATCTACGTCCCCTTGAAAGTCAATGGGAGCAAGACACGCGATTCATTGCATTCATTTAGAAATATTTGAAACCGTTATCTTTTATATTAAACATTAAGGGCTCAATCCTGCCAAGGGCTGAGCTCCAACTGATTACCCATATGCTCACTGACTCCAGTTCATGATCACAGTAATTACTACAGGAGACAATGCTTAAAATTCAATAATACTTTGCATTTCTATTGGAGCCTTGAACAAAGCACCCCGAGCGTTTTACCAATGTTAATTAATTCAAGCCATTCTCGCTCCCGGGGAGGTGAGATGAATAACTAGAGCGGGTCACAGGGATTTTTCAATAAATTGTTTCTTCAACTGCAAATGCCAATTGAACAACAATGAAACTTGTAACGGGACAGGAGCTCTTTCAAAGAATATTTCTACTCTAAAATATTTCTGGAACAAAACTGGTTTGAAATGATCAAAAAATTTTGGTCACAACATTTTCTAAATGAAAAATTCCAGTTTCCTGGTTCAAAATGACTTTTCGTTTTGAAATTTAACCTAATGAGAGTAAAAAAAAATAGTCCAAATAAGCTAATGAGAGTAAAAAAAAATAGTCCAAATTAAAATGAAATGTTTAGAAATTACTGTGATGAAATGTGAGTGACAAAAACTGAAATTTTGGGTTGGATTCAGCTTGTAAAAACTCTTCAAGATTTCTGCTTTTCATCCCAATTTGAGAGATGACTGTTTTTTTCATTTTCTCAAACTATAATTGAAATGGGGTGGCTGCATTTCCCACCACGCTGGAATGAAAAACACGGCACGAACAGCTGCCCATCAAACATCAGACAAACTGTTTCCAGCAAGTCTTTATTATTATTATCCCTCTTTTACAGCTGGGTAAACTGAGGCACAGAGACGTTAAAGTGAATTGCCCCCATGTAAACATACGAGCTGGAGGCAGAACTGAATATAAACTGCAGCAGTTCTGCCTCTCAGCCTTACTGCTAAACAATCCTTCCTCCAAACAACTGCACTCCAATTATATGGCATAAACTGTAAACTAATGACCCAACCCCTCCCAAAATGCAAGGCAAACAGATTGGCAGCGATTAACGCAGGTGCATGTAAATCGCCCTTTCTGCTGCACTAGGTACGATCAGAGCCCTTGGACTCACGGGTGCAGCCCGGCCTGTCTGCTGGCTTCATCCTCCCTGTGAGGTTAGGCTGCGATTCTTTAAAGCAGAACAGATGGAGTTAACTGTTGGTCAACGTTCATTAGTCCCAGCAAGAGCTCAAGAGCCAAATTCACCCCTGGGCAACTCCACTGAAGTCCGTGATTTTATACCAGGAAAAAGCATGACCCTCAGGGTTGGGATTACGCCCTGGAAACCATAAATCAATAAGAAAATGAAAAGTTGTCTTGTTCCAAATAAAGACACTTCACCCTGTAATCCAGGCCACAGGTGGGGACAAAAGGACTTCAACAGAAGATATTGGTGTGCCCAGAGCATAAAGCTAAACAAACTTAATACGGTGCCATTTAATTGAACAGCGTTACTACAGCCACTGAATTAAACCTGGCAATTTAGCGTGGAGTTTCGGAGGCCCAAAATGCCATTCGAGATGCCATCCTGATAGCATGAACATGTTTTTAAACTAGGGTTGCCAAGAGATTTTTAAAAAATTCATCGCGATTAACTGCACAATAATAAGACTCTAGCTCACGCCAGGCTCCATGCTATACTGCCCCTTTGAAAGGCAGACGTGGCGTTTCAAAGCGGCAGCCCAACACAGAGCCTGGGATCAGCAGAAGTCCCCAGCTGACCCCAGGCGCCATGCAGTGCTGCCCCTTTGAAACGCCACCATGGGGCAGCACCTGCACAGCTGATTCTGGGCTCCGCTAGTGCTGCCCCCTCGAAACGCCGTGGCAGTGTTTCAAAGGGGCAGTGCCGTGGAAACGCCTGTGATTAACATGCATTAAAAAAATTCACACGGTAATTCTGCCCTGCGTTAATCGCAGGTGTTAACACGTGTTAATTGACAGCCCTATTTTTAATTAGTGCACCCGGAATAGGTCCCCATCTGGAAATTTGTGCCCCGTCTATTAGCATGTCAATGATGTGTTGCTGCCAAATGAACCCTGTCACTACCAAAAAAAAAAAAAAATCTGCCAAGTAAGATGCGAAATGTGCATGACCTTGTGTGAAGATTTGGAATGAAATCCGGTCCCCAATGAATGAAATGGCAGAACTCCCAGTGATTCAGTGGGCCCAGATCTCACCCTCCGGGGGTGTTTGACAGCTCACGGAAGCGAGGTACTGATCGCCTGGCTAAATGACAGACAGCATCACTCTGACAGCTGGTACCAACCAGCCTCCCAGCACACCCCAGGCAGGAACCTCCATCTCCCTTCTAGTACATGGACTTTCTCATGAGCAAAGACTTCCAATATTGGCAAACTGCCCCAGACTTCAGCATCATCCTTCAAGGTCCTGAGCAATGTTCCCTCTAATTTTTTCCATCCACGTGCAGAATAAATTTTGTTCCATGCGCCAAGGTATGTGCAGATGTGCACCACCAATACACACATGCTGCTGGTTGTGGGAGGCTGTGGGCACTCGGCTAATCAACTGGGCAGCATCTGAATTGCACTTTCATGCTGCTGGTTGTGGGAAGCTATGGGCACTCAGCTAATCAACTGGGCAGCATCTGAATTGCACTTGGGTGGCTGCCCAAGTGATCAGCTTACAGGGAACACTGGTTCTGGCGCCATCCCAGAAATGCTAAGCACCTTGCAGGACTGAGCTCTTGGGGCCACGGCCCCCTGGACCTCAGTGAGCATTAGCTCAGGGCCCTTGGTGGTGAGAAAGACAAACGATAGGATGCACCCGAGGACAAAGACTGCTCTGATTGACACCCCGCACAGCCCAAATTTGGTCCTTCAGTTGTGACGTAAGACCTCCAGCTACACCAGGCTAGCGCGTTATCAGACTGCACCACCTCGACAACTGATGAGTCACATTTCACCTGCTCTTAAAAATACACAGCTATTGCCTTGCCAGCGATGGGCGTGGTCCCAGGCTGGTTTGCACCCGGGGCCAATGGGACATGACTGGGTTACATCAATGCAGAATCTAGCCCCGTATGTTGCGCCGCAAAAATCTGCTCCTGTGATCTGAACATGGCAGTCCCGTTGAAAGGCTAATCTCATTCATGTTCTTCCCATTCAGGGTCGCCGGGGTCTCAGACAGCTCCGTTGGCCGAGGCTGGCTTAGAAGTTCTTTAGAAGCTGCTTTCCCTGCCCAAGAAAATGGGGGCTGACAGTGAAAACTTAGCCCTGAGGAACTTGCTTATCGGTCTCAACTTGCTCCTGCTGGGATCAGTCCTCAAGCCCTTCGAGTGCCGGCTCGAGGTGACAACAGAGCGGACGAGGAGGCAGGTAGTGGACGAGGAAGGCAACTTTGCCAACTACAGCCCCCCTCTCAAGGAGCAGTCCATGGTCTTCAACCATGTGTACAACATTAACGTCCCCCTGGACAGCTTCTGCGCCTCGGCGCTCGAGGCGTCCTCGGACCAGGAGGTGAGCGCGGAGGACGCCAGGATGACGGAGTACACGGAGCAGACCTCTGACACCGAGAGCCAGGTCACCTTCACCCACAGGATAAACCTCCCCAAGCAGGCTTGCAAGTGCTTCGTCTCCACGCAGGTCATGCAGGAGCTGCAGAGCAGAATTGAGATGCTGGAGAGGGAGGTGTCCGTGCTCCGGGACCAATGCAACTCCAATTGCTGCCAAGAAAATGCAGCTACAGGTAGTCACTGATGCGGTCAGAACTTGCTGGGGACCAGGGTCTCAAAAGAGGACGCGAGGTAGAGGGGGTGACGAGTAGCGAGGGAGGAAACGTTGCATTTGGGGATGGTGCCCTGACAGTGCGTCTGCTCAGCACTGTCAAAATTACTCAGCCACCTATGCAGAGAGGGCCAGATGCAGGCTCTGGGAGGTGGAAAGTCCATCTGGAGTTGGGCACAAGAGCATAAGTCTCCACACTGCTGGGTAACCCAACGCCAGCCTTGCATGGCCCACAAAGCCGGTGGGACCGACTAGGGAGAGGCAGGAAATAAGCGGATTCATGGTTCCTATGGAGCCCTGGATGGAATTTAAAGCTCCCCCTCCTCTGCTAAAGCTCCTAAGGGAGAGGGGTGGCTGTTCTCCCCCTCCTAGAAAAAAAGGATTCTATGATTCTCTTGGCCTGAGAGGAAGCATTAAGGCCTAAATTTGACCTTTAGGTCTAAGCTTGAGCAGCCCTGGTGTAGCCCCAAGTAGCACAGCGACCCCAAGATACACCCGAGTCACAGTTCCTTCCTTGCTTGCTTCCTCCTTGTTCATGGCAAGGGAGTGCCGTTTCCTCCTCGTCTCTACTGACCGTGAGGTACAAGTCCCCCTGCACTGGCTCTGGGGGTCTGCTCGGCAAATGGTGGGTAGGGTCAAAAGGCCTGCTCCTTCCTCGCCCTTCCATGCCAGCTTGCTCCCTTCCTAGAACAATGCATCACAGTCTGGGTAGCCATGTTGGGAAGGGAGGTGCGGGGGATGCTTAACCCTCCTTAATCCCCAGTAGGGGCATGCAGGCCACCTCGCAACGTAGCCCTAACGCTCTGCGTTGAACTCCAGGGCCTCTTCCCCCGGTATCACCCGCACGGCGCAAGCCTTCTAACGATTTAGAAGTAAACAGGAATTGAACTGAACAGCAAGCTCAATCCAGAGGCTCCTGCCAAGATGAGCCGTTTTATTAAATCATTGCAGTTCAAGGCCTTTCGCCAGTGGCATAGTCACCACCAAAGCTGAAGCCGGGTTAAAACATAACTGCACAATGCTAGTAAGGGGATGAGGCAGCTAGACTATCTCGTACGCCCCCTGCTCCTTAGGCCAGTTCTGTAACTTTTCATGGGATTGGTAGAAAAGATATATCTATCGAAGAAATATTTCTTAAGTAGTCCTTTCACGCAATTCAGCGCTACAGGAGTCAGCAATAGATGAGTTCTCTAGCCTCTCCCTGGAAAGACTGAGTGGATATGAAAATCACAGTTAAAAAAAAATCTGGGGATAACTTTAGCTGCCATGAAAGACAAACAAACCCTTTTATAATGAAGGCACAAAACTATCAACTGAGTGTTCCATCTGAATAATAATGCGCCAGCTTTGTGTAGCTTTCTATAAACCTTCCATTAGGGTTACTGTTTCAAAAGACAAAGTTCAGTTCATCATCTCAACAAGGCAGCTCTTCAAAGCCCAGGAAATAGCAGGTTGCTGTAATGAGATGGGTTATGAAGGGGTTTGTTGATCCAATGAATTTCAACAGAGGGAGAAACCAGAGCCGTGACAATTTTTTACATCTGAGGGAGCTTCATAAAAAGAGGGATGTTTCCGCAAAGAGTCTCTGCTTGACTCCTTAACAGTATGTGTCTGGGCCTGTGTGAATGGTGTAGCATAGAAAATAAAACCTCTAATGGGGCGTATGAGAACTCAAGGGAAGGAAATGACAAGGTACAGCAGGTATCATAGAATACTAGGACTGGAAGGGACCTCGGGAGGTCATCGAGTCCAGTCCCCTGCCCTCATGGCAGGACCAAATACGGTCTAGACCATCCCTGATAGACAGTTATCTAACCTACTCTTAAATATCTCCAGAGATGGGGATTCCACAACCTCCCTGGGCAAAGGAGGTATTCAAAGGCTTCCCCCAGGTGTAGAAAACTATTTTCCTCCTGTAGTGGGACAGACAGGAAGTGGCTACAAACAAAAAACCCCAAATTTTGCTCCCCCATGTCTTCTACTTTTTTAGCTTGTTACTTTGTAATCAGCATAACACGGGCATGTGTGTCATGCTTTTGACTTCGGAGTCAGTCCACAATTCACAAAAAGAGAGAATATGCAAACAGCATTGTTGAACCAATGGACTATAGGGCGTCCCCGCTATAAGTCACACTGGTATACATCCGTTCCGCACTAAAGTCGTTGACACTTGTAGGAACTGATGTGTTATAAGCCCTCCTATTCCCCAGTCTTAAGTCACGCAAAAAAACCCTGAATTTGTGCAAATGGAAGTCAGCCACGGGGAAAAAAATTCCCCGCTTTAAGTTGTTTTGCTATAAGTCCAAGCTTTTTGGAACAGATCAGGATGGCCTGTGCACACATGTAATTCCATTGGCCCTCACCTTCTGCTTAGTTCCACAGCAATGTAAATTAGGAGTAACACCACTGAAGCCGACGGAGTGATAACACTAGATAAAAGGAGAATTGGGCTCATGAGAGATGTAAGCGAGAGAGATGCACTCACCATCATGGTTCGGAGAGAACACAGTAACACAGAGAAATGTGTATGGCTCAGCTCGGCATCTGGTATAAATCTGCACATGTCCAAGGCTAGTGACCCCAGTTTGCCGCACCTGAGGATCAAGCCCTATACCCTTACATCCAGACACACCTATTAACAACTGCATTAGGTAAAAAATAAAATGTAAACTCATCCGTCATTAAATCGAAGCGCTGAATAATGACTGTTAAAATCCAGTCATAAAAGTCAAGAGACAAAACATGAAAGGAATTAGTTGTCAAAAGGCCTATTTGGGTTATTTATAATGTATGCAAATGAACGTAGTAAATATTTATCATGCTGTAGAATCTCCAGTCCAATCTCAGCTACCTCAGGGTGATCCGAAGCAACTTTGTTCAATTCAGTGTTACTCTGAATTAACGCCAGTGTAAATCAGATGAGAATCGGTCACCCTCCCACGCTCCTCCAGGGCCAGGCGTTCCGCAAAGGATCCACCGCTTTCTGGCAAGCATTCAAGAATCCTCTCTCGTCGACTGACAATTTAATTTGTGTGAAATCTGAAGGCAAATCCGAACACCACCCCTGCTGTGTGCCGAGCCTAAATGGTCCTGTCACCATTTGTAACCAAACACACTTGGCTGCGTCTAGATTGGCATGATTTTCCGGAAATGCTTTTAATGGAAAAGTTTTCTGTTAAAAGCATTTTCGGAACAGAGCATCTCGATTGGCACGGACACTTTTCTGCAAAAGCATTTTTTGCGGAAAAGCGTCCGTGCCAATCTAGACGCGCTTTTCCACAAAAAAGCCCCAATCACCATTTTCGCCATCGGGGCTTTTTTGCGGAAAACAAATCTGAGCTGTCTACACTGGCCCTTTTGCTCAAAAGCTTTGCAAAAGATACCCAGAAGATAACAGTCTACTACAGCCATCAGGCACTCCATTAGCACACGTTATAGAGGTCTTTGCTATGGACCGGGAGGTCTGAACTCGGCTGATGACCCACAGTGGTGGTGGGTATGGTCCCATATTATAGAATTTCTGGAGGATTCTTTTTTCCAGTTGTTTCCCCCCCTCCCCCAACAAATTAGGACATTACATCTAAAAAGCGACATCAAGCAATCTACAATTGCAAAGCCAAACATTAAGCAATGCCCGAATTAAAATTGCCCCTGCATCCGACATTCAGTCCCCAGGGCATGATGCTACATGACATGAACGGCCTACTGGTTTCCCCCCCCACGGGACCCTTCCCGTTGAGGATGTTGAACGCAGGGGGCAACCAGGCAATTTAAGAAGGGTGGGGTAAGATGGAAGAAAGCATTTGCTTTGCCCTAATCCCAATGGCCCGTAGGGAATGGTAATCGTGTGATTCGCTACAGGGCTAGGCAGGAGCTATGTAACCGTACACTCACCACTGGCCACCCCCATAGTCTCTCCGCTCGCTACTCCGCCCCCTCCCCGGGTCTACTCCTGATGTTCTCCAACCCCCCGAGCAACTTCAAACAAATACACCAGTGCAGGGTTGGGGCCTTAAATTCCAGGGTGTCTCGGCCCCACAGGATCGTGTGATTCGCTACAGGGCTAGGCAGGAGCTATGTAACCGTACACTCACCACTGGCCACCCCCATAGTCTCTCCGCTCGCTACTCCGCCCCCTCCCCGGGTCTACTCCTGATGTTCTCCAACCCCCCGAGCAACTTCAAACAAATACACCAGTGCAGGGTTGGGGCCTTAAATTCCAGGGTGTCTCGGCCCCACAGGTCTGTTAACGTCCGTTATCCCATGGCCTTCCACAGCTAGTAGCTCTCGCCCTGGCCCGCAGCATGTGCCACATCAAAACCCTTTCAACTGAGCCTAGACGGAGCTGGGAATGTTCCAAATAACCCTCCGTGGAGACTGTGTGAAGTGTATCCTGCCCCTGCCACAGATGGACCTGTTATGCATGTCAGAAAAACCACGGCAGAGTGTGGGGGCAAGTCGGACGCCTGGCACTTGCCCAGGACTGGGAGAGCGGAGGCGCATTGCACGTTAACAGCAAAGCGTCCTGGCCGATGGAGACAACGCCTCCATGTTGAGAATTGGGAGGAGGCACAACTTAAAGGTTCTAGGGGGTGTGCGGCGGGGTTGGTGGCCTGGCTTCTAAACCCTGGCAGCAAGGGGGAGGGTATGCGGCCCAGTGTGCCCCCCCATGTGTCACTGCTGCTGGCCCGGGAATGTTACTCAGTGTAATCAAGCTCCTACTCCTCTGAACGTAGAAGCCCCCCTCAAATCCCACAGAAAACTACAGCGCTACAGGAAGAAGATCACATGGTGTCTGCAGCAGCTGTGAGGAGTCCTTTCTCCCTGCCACACCGCCCTGCTGATAGCGGATAGGGATGGGAACGGGTAACCGGTTACCCCTTTTGACTCACCCTTACTAGGTGAGGCTTACCGGTTACAGTTAACCGTGGCCTGCCACAGGTGAGGGCTGCTGGGCCAGGGATCCTGCTTAGTTGGTTAACTGATTAATTGGGATTTTCCACCCCTAAGAGCTGACCTGTTGCTCTCGCTCATTCCAGGGCAGCTAGATTTCGTCCCCCACTGCAGCGGGCATGGAAACTTTAGCCTGGAGTCCTGCGGCTGCATCTGCAACGAAGGCTGGGGAGGAAAAAACTGCTCCGAGCCCCACTGCCCGCTGGGCTGTTCCAGCCGGGGCATCTGCGTCGAAGGCCAGTGCATCTGTGACGACGACTACGGCGGGGGTGCAGCTCCCGAGGCCTCTGCGTGGACGGGGAGTGCGTCTGCGAAGAGGGCTACGCCGGGGAGGACTGCAGCGAGCTGAGGTGCCCCGACGACTGCTCGGGGAAGGGGAGATGCGCCAACGGCACCTGCGTCTGCCAGGAGGGCTACGTGGGGGAAGGCTGCGCTCAGCTGAGGTGCATGAATGCCTGCAGCGGACGCGGGTTCTGCCAGGAGGGGCTGTGCGCTTGTGAGGAAGGTTACCAGGGACAGGACTGCTCAGCAGGTAGGAGGGCTGCTGGGGCAAGGGGAGGCCCTGCTCTCAGCCAGCCTGGGAAGCCAGGGCCTCAGGGGCATATCGAGCTGGGTTGGCTTGGCAGGAACACACCGCACTGCAGCTGTGCTCTGCTCCCTGTGGCCCCAGCAGCCCTGGGGTTGCTCTCCCTTTCCTCAGGCCACTGCCCAAGCCTAGTATATGGGCACAGCACAGCCTCCCCCCGGTCCGTGCCCCGACAACAGGAACTCGGGGCCTGAGACTGGTGTGGGCCCGTGGCATGCGGACGGTGCCAGAGCAAAGCCGGGGGGGGCGATTTCTGCAGAGCGATTCGTCTGGGGTAGGAAACAGAAAATACCATCCTGCGCCAACTCAGCCAGGCTCCCTCCTTTACCAGGGGGACATAGGCCCCAGCATCGTGCTCTGCCTGCCTGCTCGGGGCCCTTCTGACACCAGTGGGGGGACCGAGCGCTCACGTGGGCACCCTCTGCCGGGATCACTGTGCAAGCCACAGCTGTTTCTCGGCAACTCCCCCCACCCAGTAAGGCCAAGGGCAAGCTGCTCCTTCGTGGGCTCTTCCCAGCTCCTTGGAGGCAACCTCCCCTGGGCCTTTTCCAGAGTGCACAGTCCCAGGCAGCCAGGGTGCTCAGCCGGCGAGTGCCCCCGGGACCTGCCAAGATACTCACAGCGTGACCCTTTCGGCCCTGCTAAAACTGTGTCAGTCACAGGGCAGCAAGGAGGTTTCCCTGTAGGTGAACCTGGCCACTCACAGAGCCTGGTCGTCTCAGCTGGCTCTCTGCCTCCCCTCTCTCTACATCAGGGCTGGGCAAAATACAGCCCGCGGGCCGGATCCGGCCTGCCAAAGCAGCTGTGGGGCCATTTGTCTTTCAACAGCTGCAAGCCCAGAGGGAGGAGGGAGAGACTTTGCGTGCGGCCCCTGCCCACAAGCCCAAGGTCACCACGATCCCATTGCCCCTGCACCCCAATCCCTTGCCCCAGGTCATCACTGCCTCCTGCACCCAAACTCCCTCCCAGGCCCCACCCCACTTCCTGCATCTCCATACCCCAAGCTCCCTCCCTCTGAGCAACACACAACACTGCTCCTTTTTAGGACGGGCACTGCAGTGCTGGCCAGACAACCAACCACTTCTCCAGATTCCATGTGTCCTTCTGACCCTCACCGTTGTACTGCGCTCTGCCCAGCCTCTGCGTGGTCACCAGTCCCCTCCACCTTGTTCTTGCTTCTGCCCTGTCTGCTCTCCTGCATCTGCGTTCCCGGCAGCTGCCGTTACCCACCCAATGCCCCCTTTCCCTTGGCCTCTTCCCAGCTGCAAATCAACAAAAAAAAGGCTGCACAACATGATCAGGTTGGACAGGAAGCAAAAAAAAGAGGTGAGAGCCATTATGTGAACACCGGTCCATGTCCCAATGCCCCTCTACAGCTGCCTTCGGTGGAAAACTTTACAAGGGGCTTTCAGGATGCAGCTGAGAATTATTTTCAGAAGCTTTATGCAGACTTAAAGGTGGCAAATTTCCCTCTGTCACATATGGCTTCTTTATTTTTCTTGTTTATTTCACAGAAGGCAATTAAAAGCCAAAAATAATGAGTGGGGAAGGTGTGCTAATAGCAGATGACATCAAAAAAGCTCAGCTGTGGAATGCCTGTGTTGCTAGATCCCCAAAAATAATTAATATTAGCCACAAGAAGGAAGAAACACAAGCCAAAACAGGGAGAGAACAGGTTAAAATATTTCAAGTTAAATGTGTTCAAATTGGCAGCGCCTGATAACATTCATCCTACAGTGCTAAAGGCACCAGCTAAAGCAATTTCGGAATCATTAGTGATTATCTTTAAGAACTAATGGAGGATAGGTGAGCTACCAGAGGACTGTCTTTTAAAGGGGGAACAAAGAAGACCCAGGAATTATAGCCCAATCAGCCTAACTTGAATATGTGGAAAGAGACAGGAACAAGTTATCAAACTATTTGCAAGCACCTAGAAGAGAACAGAGTTGCAAGCAGTAGTCAGCATGGATTTGGCAAGAAAACCAAACCCGCGTAGTGGCCTTCTTCAACAGGGATCCTGGCACAGTGCCTGGGGCAAGCAGTAGTCACAATATAGCTGGATTTTAGTGAGGCTTTTGACCAGTTCCACTTGACAGTCTCATAAGCGAACCAGGGCACTGGGCCCTACATGCAATGACCGATGGAAAGGGCATATTCAAAGTGCCGTTATCAATGACTCCCTGTCAGGCCAAGAGGGCGCATCTAATGGAGTTCCACTGGGGTCAGCCCTGGGTCTGGCAGCATTCAATATTTGCGCTAATAACCTGAATAATGGAGTGGAGAGCGAGTTTATGAAATCTGCAGATGACCCCCGAGGCAGGGCGGTTACCACCTCTTTGGAAGACAAGATCAGAATTCAAAATGACCTTGATTTATTGGAGAATGGTCTGAATTCAATAAGACGAAATTCAAGTGCAAAGTCCTTCCCTTCAGAAGGAAATTTCAGAGGCACCAGCTACAAAACAGGGACTAACCAGCTAGGTGGGAGGACTTCTAAAAAGGATCTGGGGGCTAAGGGGGTCACAAATTGAATATGAAGCAATAACATGACACCGTTGCAAAAAAAAGCGAACATTAACCGGGGGGGGGTTGTTTGTAACACATGGGAGGGCTAGACACTGGGGAGGTCTCCATCCTTTGGGTGGGACGTGGACAAATTGGAGAGAATTCAGAGGAGCACAACAAAAATTATACAAAATTGTTAGTCTTTAAGGACTCCTTGTTTTTGCTGAAACAGACTACCACAGCTCCTTCTCTGAACAACAACAAATGGGCTAGAAAACCTGAGGGAAGAGTAAAAACTGGGTGTGTTCAGTCTTGAGAAAAAAAAAGGAGAGAGGGGGAACCTGATAACAGCCTTCAAATAAGTTGTGGGCTGTTATAAAGAGCACCGTGCGCAGCTGTTCGCCATGGTCACTTGTGAAGGTCACACAAGAAATAATTGACTTAACACGCAGCAAGGGAAATCTAGGTTAGCTCTTCAGGGAATGGGTCTAAAGCTAAGGGTCATTAAACTGTGGAATAGGTTACCAAAAGGAGGTTGCGGAATTACCATTCCTAGAGATTTTTACCGACAGGTTGCACAAACACATGTCAGGGCTGGGCTAGGTAGACGTGATCCTGCCTCAGCAAAGGAAGCTGGACTTGGTAACCTCGAGACCCCTTCCAGCCCTACATTTCTAGGATTCCAAGAAAAGCTGCATCTCTCAATTACCGGGGAACAAGGGGCATTAAAAAGGCTTGATTGACAAGCAAATGAGCTGTCTGGAAGGCAAATCCAGCATAAGGTCTGGAATTCCTCCATTCTGGGAGGGACCGTTTTGTGTTTGTACAGAGCCTATCCCAGTAGATCCTAGGACATGAGGAGGACTTATAAAGCTTTGAAGCAGAATCTACGGCTTGCTGCACCTCTGCAATGGGTCCAAGCAACGCCTGGCTTAATCACAGTCGGGTATGACCATCAGAGTCCCGGGCTTTGATTGTTCTTCCTATCCCTAACGGCACCTCCCCATGCGGCAGTCAGACCTCAGTCCGCCAAGGTGGGTTCTAAGACTTTGCCGAAGCAGACAACTCGCACAGCTGGTTCCCCGTGGATCACACTAGGGTCTAATCCGGAACCATCGTGCTCGGTGCTGTACAAACACAGAACTGCACCTGCTTGGAAGAGCTCCCAATCGAGGTACAACAGATGGCTACAGAGAGATAAGGAGCACACCCTTGGTCAGCCTGATGAGCAGTGGGCTCAGAGCACAAGCAGCCCAGCTGTTGGCACGTTTCTGTGGGCCTCGGGTGAAAGGACGTTTTAGGAGGGATTTGAAGGAGGACCGGGAGGTTTCCTGTGGATGTTTTCGGGGCGCTCCTCCCAAGCATGAGGGCGACACTGCAAGGGTGCTTGTTCGAAAAGGGAACCGGTGGCTGGCTGAGGCTGGGCACGGAGTTAGGACAACCCTTTAGTGAAGATAAAGTGGAAATGGGTTTATTTGAAAATACATGTACTGGAAATTGCATTTATCAGCCCCTCCCCCCCATATTCTGTGCTACGAACACTGGCTTGGACTAACTGAAGTTCTCAAAGTGTCAGTCAATCCCAGTTTACCCCATGAAAACATCCCATTTAACACCCTCCCCCATACACACACACGTGCACGAGAGGCCCGCTGAATCTCGTCCACTGAAGATCCCCATCGTGCAGGACCGTTGGGCATTTACTGCCATTGATTATTTGCAGGACCGAGGGGTCCCTGTTGTACGCTGCACGGGACAAGCACCTCCGGCCCCTTGGTAGGTGGCCCTGCCTAGTGGTTAGCACAGGGTAGGGGGCCAGGTCACCCATGCCAGGAGGTGAGGAGCCCAGGGTGGGAGCCATAGGTCAGATGCCACACATCAGGAAACACGCTCGTCCAGGCCAGGAGACTAGAGCGGGTAGCACTGAATGAGCAGCCCAAAGCAGGGTGGAGCCCAGCTGTGCAGACAGCTTCCTGTTCCTCCTTCCGGCTTAAGTAGGAGGGAGCAGGCCAATCAGAAGCGCTCGTATTCCACCAATCAGGGCCCAGAGGTAGAGCCTTCTCTCTGAATGGCGCTGCAAGGGCTCCTAGTTCGATGCCAGGAACCCACTGGGTGGAAGACAGGGGCGGGATGACCCAGGTCCGGAAGGCCCCAGGTCATGACACAAAGGGGGGGAAGGAAAGAGGCACAGAGAGGTGAAGAGGAACTGGAATTAGAACAGGACCCTTAGGTTTCTGTTCCAACCCTCTGTCTGCACCACCGATATATACTGGCTCCCAGGAACGGGTGAAAAGCTTCAGGAGAGAGCATCTCTCAGATCAGACCGGGTCTGCAAACGGGACCCTAGCCCAAGAGCATTGTGCCTGAAGGAGTGAGCCAGAGGGCGGATGAGCCACACGCCCTGACACTCCGTATCTACCTCCTCTCCCTTTAGTGGCCCCGCCCGAGGAGCTGCGCGTGGCTGGGATCGGCGACAGGTCTATTGACCTGGAATGGGATGGGCCGATGGCCGTGACAGAATACGTGATCTCCTATCAGCCAGCCGTGCCAGGGGGCCTTCAGCTCCAGCAGCAGGTACCCGGGGACTGGAGCGCCATCACCCTCAAGGAGCTGGAGCCGAGCCTCACATATAACATCAGCATCTATGCGGTCATCAGCGACAGCCTTAGCACGCCGGTCACAACCAAGGTGACTACCCGTAAGTATTGATCTCCGCCCTATAATTCTACCCCCGTTGGCCAAAGGTAACCCTCCGGCCTAGAGAAAAGACCAGACTCTCATGTATCTGCTGACCTTCATAGAGAGCTTTCCCAAACTCACACAGCTTCTAGGACATGGCTGCCATCGTTCAAGGCTGGTTGAAATGTTTTCATGAAAAAAATAGTTTTCAACAGAAAAGTGGTGGTGGGTGGGGCGGTCAGAATTTTTTTTTTTTAACAAAAAGATGCTCATTTTTCTCAGAAAATTTAAATTTTTTGTCAAAAGCTTGAACATCTGAAAACCAAAAAGCTTTCGGGTTTTGGCCACAACCCCAAAATATTTCTCTTAGGAAATATTGCCACGGTTTCGCTTGCCCCGTCCTCCTCTAGGACTGGGATCCGAGCCACATTTCATCTCTGTGCCGTTCCATGGCCGACGATGTCCAGACGCACGTAGGTGGTGGCTCAGGAAGAGGGGAAGATTGTGGGGCATCCTGAGAGATATCATCTAACTGGGAAACTTGGCCCCGAAAGGCGAATGGGGATACAGAGGGCTTGAAATACAACTCCCATCTGGCGTCACTGCAGCATTTCCAACGCAGATTTTCCATTTTAAAACTGAAAGTTTACAGCTGAACCTTTTCAGCTTTTTTTTTTTTTTTGCTAAAAAGTTAATTTTCCTTGGGGAGGGGACATTTTCCAACCAGCTCTGGCTGTTGGATTAAAGCTGGCGGTTATGGACATGATGCTCTGGTGGAATGAATCACAGAGTTACAGAGCACTAGAACTGGAAGGGACCTCGAGAGGTCATCGAGTCCAGTCCCCTGCCCTTACAGCAGGACCCAGTACTGTCTACCAGTGGTCCCCAACCTTTTTGGGTGGCAGGCACTGTGCAGGGCTGCCCGGGGTCAGGGCCACGCATGCACCACGCTTCCGGGGGTGGCACTAGGCAGGCGCACAAACGCCCCAGTGGGCGCCATGGCACCGCATTGGGGACCATCCCTGACAGGTGTCTATCTAACCTGGTTTAAAATACCTCCAGTGATGGAGATTCCACAGTGCCTCTAGGCAATTTATTCCAGTGTTTAACCACCCTGACAGGTAGGAAGTTTTTCCTCATGTCCAACCTAAACCTCCCTTGCCGCAATTTAAGCCCATTGCTTCTTGTCCTGTCCTCAGAGGCCAAGGAGAACAATTTTTCTCCTTCCTCCTTGTAACACCCTTTCAGTGCTAGCGGTATATTTGCTAATACAGAACTTAATCCAAAACCCATCCAAGCTGACAGGTGCCTTTCCATTCATTCCACTGGGATTAAGCATATAATGCTGTCCAATGGGGGTAAAAGTCAGGTCTAAGATTGCCCTAGAAGTAGTTTTCCGCTCAACCTCATAAACACACAAGGTACAAGGCTGCCTCTCCTACAGGGCTGCCCCTGAAACAGGCATGCCTTTTCTGGCTCATTCCCCTTTAAATCTGATAACCGAGATGGACATGAGCATCCAAAAATCACACGTGCATCCCCAATGGCTGGTCCATGACGCTGCTTCAGTCCATCTCTAGGGTTGAGTAATGAGAAGCGAGCGTCGGGAGCTCAGATTCACTTTGAGTGCATTCCTGGAGCACATGGGTGGCTATTAACCAGGATGGTCAGAGAGGCAGCTCCATGCTCTCAGCGACTGTAAGCCTCCGACTGCCCAAAGCTGGGCCTGGATCGATCCAAAAATCGCCCTGTTCTCTTCCTTCCCTCTGAAGCCTCTGGCATTGGCTGCTGTCATACTGGGCTACAGAGGCCACTGCTATGACCCACCATGGCTGGTCTGAATTCTCAAAAGCCTATCCAGACTTATCCCCTGAACTAAACATTGCTCCATCCCAACTTCCCACATCAGGCCCTTCCTTATACTGCGTTAGCTTTCTGAGGTGCTTAGCTGGCTTTTATTACTAGACCCATTGAGGTACTTATATGGATATTATTACTATAATATCTTCAGGGTATCTCTACACGTACATCCACACTGCTATTACGTTCTTTTGACAGAAAGTTGAAAGAACACAGGGGTTTTTCCAACAGCGGTAAACCTCTTTCTACGAGGTTTGCCATGTGTGAAAGGGGAAGAGGGTTTTTTTTTTTTTTTTTTTTAAAGAGGCCTCCAGGAAAAAAGCACAGGTGCCCTGGTGGACTGTCCACAGTAATCACGACTGAAATGTGAGATAGCGTCCAATTAATGTGGACACTCTCTTTCGAAAAAGCACATCGCTTTCTCGTTGTGCTTTTGCTCTGTAGACACTTTGTTTCGAAAGAAGTTTTTCCGGAAGATCTCTTCCTGAAAAGCTACTTCTGAAAGAAGCCTGTAGTCTAGACATAGCGTCAGAGTGTGTGTCCTCACAGAAGCCTTGTGAATTAGGGAAGGACATACACCATCAGCTTCATTTTCCCATCATACAGATGGGGAACTGAGGCACAGAGAGACTAAGTGACTTGGCCAAGGTCACAGAACAAGGAACTGAACCCAGATCTCTCACATTCCAGGCTAGCAGCCTACCCACTGGAATATTCTCCCTCTCTACCACAGCCCTTTTAAACAAATGGCCCAGATAAAACCTGCGGCGCTATTAGAAATGTGTCTGGGTGTGATGTAGGCTTGTTAAAAACACTAAAACTCTTTTCACTATCAGCCATGTATTCCTCCTCTCATCACTGAATTTCCGCTTGACACAGGGAACAGTTTGGGGCGGGAAGGGTTAAAATAATCCCACTTCATTTCTCTCTCTATTACATTGATGCTTTTTCTTAATGAGAACCTGTCACATGCTGCCATCGTGAATACACAAGAGAGAGGCGCGAGAGAGAGGAATTTTGACCCACGGAAAAATCTGAGGTTTTGGAAAGATTTTCAGGATGAGAAGGAGGAACCGCAACATTTCACAGTGCAGAAATTCCAGAAAAATCTGCGAGGGCAGAATCAGAATGGAATTTTTCAGCTGCTCCTTTGGCCACCTGGATGGCTCATGTCAATTTCACTTTCTGCCTGCAGGGAGAACCTGAAATGGACATGAGTCTTGCAGGCAAGCTGACAGAGGCCGACTCCCCACCTCTCCCGGGGTCAGACTTCCCACCTCCCCCTCCTCCCCGCTGTAGCTCCCAAAGCAAAGGGACACCGACAGGATCCTCCCAGCCAGGGATACAGGGCACCAGTCATTTGGATTTTCCCAACGTAAAATTTAATTTTTTTAAGCAAAAAATGAAAAAAAAAATTTCCCACAATAATCTCTGGTTTGAAGAAGGGGGCATTTCCCACCAGAAACTCATTCACACAGACCACTCCTGACCAGCCGGCAGTACCTCACTGGGCACCAGCAGGCAGGTTTACCCCTGTATGTGCCGAGTCAAAGGAGACCTATGCCTTGTGCCGTGGGCGCGGTGGATGAAAGCAGGAACAGAGCCAGAGCGTAGCTAATGTGACCCACGCTGCTGCATTCCAGATCTCTCCACGCCACGAGGGCTGCAGTTCAAGACGATCACGGAGACCACCGTGGAGGTGCAGTGGGAGCCCTTTTCCTTCTCTTTTGACGGCTGGGAGATCAGCTTCATCCCCAAGGTAGGAACACCAGAGACCACTGCAGTATCACTGCTGGCCACCCAAAGCCAGCTGTGTGGGACGGTCACGCTAATAGGTCCCCGTTTAAAGGAGCAGTCACACATGCAGGACAAGGCCTGGGTGAACTCCATCTGAACAATACCCTACGCTGCCCTCTCCTTCCCCCCAAAAAGCAGTAAAACCTCAGGTCGCAATCTCGATCAGTTAACCTCAAGCTCTGCGCTGAACCGTATTTTCCAGGGACCTTTGGGATTAGGACATGCACTCTTAGTATAAAGGGAATTCCATGAAAACAATCTTACATTTATATAAACCAATGGGTTTCGCCCACCCTCTGTTCCTTGACGTGGCCTCTTGCTCTCTTCCCTTCTCCTCTTCCTCCATTTCCTCCCTCTTACCTTTCTCTCTCCCCCTACTTCATTCTGTTTTCTCTCTCCGGTTCAGAAAAGTCTAATCAAAGGCAGGGCAATTCAGTGACTGATTCATCTGTTCTATCTTATCAGTGTGAAGATGAGGCATTTGATCAGCATCTCTGAAAGCCCATTTTAGAAACCTGCTTGGGTGTCGAAAGCTACACCCCTAAAGTTCATTTTTTCCCCACCCAAATATTCTGATTCCAGAAGCCCTGAGCCCTTGGCAGCCTAAATCACAACTACAAAGAGTGCTGGCTGGAAACCTGTAACCACTGTGACAGAGCTTGCTAAAATGAAGGTTGAGGGCTGAAACCGTTGCCCTAAATTTCAAACGCTGATAAAACCACAATAAAGTTGTTATTGATTCTATATTTAATCTTTATTCTCGGTTATTGCACGACCTGTATGGAACTACTGCGCAAACTGTATCCGACACGTCTCCACAGGAATATCCTACGTACCTTACAATAAAAGAAATGTGGATGAATAGCCCAATTATATCACTTGGGTGCAGGAAAAGCTGCCACTGAAGTAAACAAGGGTTCTGAGCAATAAAGAACTGCAGAACTGGGCCCCTGAAGGTGTGAAAACCTACAGCCAGCACCAGTACAAAAGAAAAATAAAGAGTGAAAATTGACAAAAACAGCTTTGTTTTCCAAAAGGGCTGGAGGGATTTTTTTGTAATTTGATGTTTGTACACACACACACACACACACACACACACACACATACACACACAACCCTTTTAAGAGTCACACACACGCACGCACACACACACGTACACACCCGTTTTAAGAGTCACAGTTCATGTATTGCATGTATAAACCCAGAGGTAATTTTCAATCAAAATGAGGATAAACCACTAAAAAATAAATCCTAATGGAAAAGCTACCCAAGCCTTAAGTGAACTAGCCAAAACTAACAGATCTTTACAACATTTTACAAACACTAGTGAATCAATCCTTACCACATAGGGATTAACAGAAATGCTATGACCTCCCTTTTAAAATGGGGAAACAGAGCCTCAAAGTGCATTTGGCGATCTTACCCTATTTCTGTGTAAAAATCAACTCTCCCTAGAGTCTTTGCACAGACCTAATGTTCATGGCTTTGTCCCCGGTCCCAAGGGAATAGCGTGACAGTGCACAGACAATGCAGGAGTCCTGCTTTAACTTGACATTGTGATGTGTCAGCACAAGCCAATGATGTCACAATGCAATCTGTGACACGTTGGTTTCGGCCTGCACGAAAAAGTGCTGCCATTTTCCCATCAGACCTTAGCCCACATTATACAAATGCAAAATGTAAGTACTGGTACAACAAACACCTTGGGATGAAATAAGACAGTTTGTGAGGCACCTGAATTTTATAAACAGTGGTGCTCTATAGGATAGGAGAAATAAGACGATAGCTTTTGATCATGCTGCAGCATGTGATAAATAAGGGCAGGCAGATCCTTCCCAGTGGCTTTGAAATTTTCAGCCTAAATGCTGTAAAATCTGTAAATTTCAAGTGAACTGTTCAGGTCAAATGTATCCCAACTTTAACATTTGAAAAGCTAAATTCTTAAAGTCCTAAGACCAACAGAAACATTTCCAGGGTATTTTAAAACATTCCAAATAGCAAAATTCCCTCTCGCTGCCCAAAACCCCCCCTCCCACCCAACACCACAGCATAGCACTGCCTTTCTAAGACCCTGACAATGAAAAGCGAATCAACACTGATTAGAACTATAATGAAACTGACCAGTCTATTTGCATTGTTTAGCCAGAAAGAAATGCAAACATTAAACAGCAGGGACAGGGAAAAGTCGATATAGGCAAGGGCGTTAATATCACATTAACATTACAGCTGCGGTGTACGTAGCTATGGAGGTAGGATGCCATTGTTTTCAGTGCACTACACCATTACTTTTCTAAGAAACCTACATGAGGCAGCAACCCTTTTGTTCTCGCAATCCCCACAAACTGCTCCAGAGACAGACTCCCTGTGCTCCTGCAAGAAGACTTTAATTCTGTTCGTTCTTGTTACTCCATAATATAAAATAAAAGTGATTTCAGAAGACAAGTCTGTGCTGGCTCTGTGTGAAAGGGGAAAAAAACCCACACAATGAGATTTGCGGCAGTAGAGGGAATGGCTCACAAAACAATAGAGCTCACAGAAAATGACAAAGCAACAGAAAGAGGTTAAAAAAAGAAAGAAAATTAGAAAAGGTAACATGACAGTTTAGGGGTGCAGTGGAAGACTGCTAGTTTCACGAGAAAAAGGAAGAAGATGAATGGAAATCTATGTGCAGAGATTTGCTTAGTATATTATTAGCGAGGACAATGACTAGAAAAGTTTCATTTGGGCTAACCCTGGCGGGAACAGTGACATTTGCACTTGCTTAAAGACTCCTGTTTTCCAGAGGAAATACACGGAGTAGAAAGACTTAATAGAGATGCTTCAAAAGCCCTGTGTGCCAAACCCACAGCCCTTGCTGTTTCATAGCTTTATATAAACCCCATGATGTGCCTGGCAGCCGAGACGTGAAAGGGATGAATCCTGGATCCTTTTCTTTACCTGGTCTCATGTGGAGTCACTCTACCAGCTTGCGTGCGTGCGCACAGTGGTTAAAAACCCGAGGGCTGGGAAAAAACGCTGCCTGCCCACCTGCCACCTGGAAGCAATAACTGAGGGGTGAGCGGCAGCAGATGACTCTGACTCTCTGAGCTGCGACTGGCGGCGAGGGGGCATTGGGATCCCGCCCTTGGGGAAGGAGTCCACCCATCCCAAGGGGTGTGATGCCTTCTGGGCACGTTTCCAAGCACTTCCCCAGGCCCAATGAAAACAATGGGGATCACTGAATAAGGAAGATCTCCCATCGATGAAACAGACATGCAGGGAGTTTTTAAGTTTTCCCCAGGTGGAAATACCCCCCCCGTGATTGTTGATGCGCTATATTTGGGGCCATGGTGACCTGCCATCTAGCCCCATCATCTTCTCCAGCTACTGCACCCAGGGCCAGACTCCCCCGCCGCCTCTCTGTGCTGATCTCTCCTTTAATCTCTCCAGAACAACGAAGGGGGCGTCATCGCACAGCTTCCCAGCGGCGTCACCACCTTCAACCAGACGGGCCTGAAGCCGGGGGAAGAATACATCGTCAACGTGGTAGCCCTGAAGGAGCAAGCCAGGAGCCCCGCCACCTCTGGCAGTGTCTCCACCCGTGAGTGACTCCCTCGTCCTTTAGCCTTCGGGCCTGCTGCATCTTCCCAGACCCAGAAACGGGCCTGAGCCCAGCGTGGGCCTGTCACGTGGCTTAGCCCGTCCCCTCCAGGGCAGAGCCAAGCTGAAGGCTGGTATCTCCTGAGAGCGGAGACCCTTCGGTGGCCAGGCGAAATGAGGCGCTGGTGTCAACCCAGTGGACGTGCGTCCGCATCACAAAACACACCAACACAATTGGCATTCCCGGGTTCCCTTATCGGCTGTTTCGGCAGAGATGGCCAGGAATGGATGAGCTGCTCTCTCTCACATAGAGGTGCGCACACGCCCCCGAGCATGGCAGGGGCACCCCGATGGGCGTGGGGCAGTTCACATTTCTGTTGCCCATGTTGTACTAGTGCCCTGCGTAAGAATAAGAATCTAGTCTCCAGGGGTGTTCATGCACCTGTCACCAACAGAGCAGCCGAGCAATGGGCCAGATCCCCACCTGGGGTTGCTCCACTGAATTCAAACTAAAATGGTTTTAACCTCTGGAAATGTGGGTGTGCTTGGCAGGTCAGCTGAGCATTCTGCTCCTTTTATCCAAATACACCCTCTTCACTGAGGTTACCTTGCAACGCTGCTTTTACTCTTTGCTAGACAAACTCAGAGGGAAAATTCCTCCCGGGGCTAGCATCCCCGACTTGCCCCAGGGAGTACCTTGGCCTCCATCGTGTCTGCAAGGAAGGTAATAATTAGAGACACCTCCGGACTGCAACATCAGAGCCACTTTGTGTCTGACTTTCCCCCACCGCAAATGCAAATTTTCTGGCACAGGCCCCGTTATCCTGATACCACGTGACTGAGCCGTGCCATTTCAATCTCAGATGCACACTAGGGAGGGGCGAAGCTCTATACGGAGAGCCGATTCGGGTGAAACACAGGCCCTGGAGGCTTTATCACAGCTGTCCGATTCCATCTGGGCAGCACAGCAGGTGCAGGAGTGCCCTGGGAACAGCCCATCTCGCTGTATTTTGACACGTCTTTGGTGTTTACACCCTTTTGCGCAAGGCTCAGGAAGCGTGACAATACCAAAGGGAAAATGAATCCTCGCTGTTCCACCCGAGCTCACGTTCTCCTCTGCCATCTCCTCTCTTCCACCCTCT